ATATATAATATAATATATACACGTGTGCAGTTGTGTGTGAGTGTGTGTGTGCGAGTACTCGTGTGTGTGTGTGTGTATTTGTGTGTGGGTGTGTGTACACGTGTGTCGATAATTCACTTACATACATAATCGTTTCTTTCTTAATGAGTACTAGACAAGCGGATCGATAACTCATACACTTGTGATACGACCAGACTGTTCTGTCTGCATACCCTACAATACATGTTTACTTCTTGCTTATGCCTCTTAAACACGTAGTATTAACCAATGCTTCTGCACCGTTTGGATTGGAAAGCTAAATGTTCACACTAATACTTCTACGACTGTTGAATTAAAAGGCCACGCGTTCAATGTTTTAAGTCTGCAACTGATACGTAAAAAGTGACGCTATGTGTCGGTATAGAAAACAACCGTTTACGAATACGAAAACACATTGTATGTAGAAGTATAAAAGTGCAGTTTATTCGAGCATTCGTCCAAAACGCCGTACGAGTGCAACCACTTGCGAATGCGTCAGGTGAAACATGTGCTGCTTTCAAATTCCAACTAAAACAATCTGCCTTTAAAATCTTTTATATATACACACGTCACACATTATTGCTATTTTTTTTAATATCTCAGCTATCAAAATGCACAATGATACTACTACAATTATCGAAATGTACTATAAAAGAGGTGGTACTCACTTTTTGAGCCCTTTCCGTCAGAGTTATTAATCCTGGTACTATAGCGTGGGTAATCGGCATTGAAATTATTGAAACTTCTGTAGGCGGCAACAGCGGCCAACCCACCCCCAGCCAGGGAAGTCACAACTTTAAACCGTCTACTCAACGTCATCTCGAGTGCTCTAACACGTATGCATGCGCATACTACTGAAACTGTTCACACATGTACTGTAGTGACACAGATATATATAAATGTGAACAATATTTGCGTATTTATTTACAAACAAGAGCCAGCCTTCTAAAATTGAACAGATTCACGCTAATATTTACCAATGTTGGCTTGTCAGTGATATCACAGGGTTTAGGGTTTACAACTACAGGGTTTTTATCATAGCCTCCTATCATAGCCTCCTATCATAGCCTCCTAAAAAAAATTGAGGCAATGTATGCTCCTATAAAACATATAAAAAAAGTTTTAGCCTCCTATGTATGCTATGATTATTTTAGGAGACTATTATTGAGCATGCCCATTGCCCAAACATAACTCATCCAAACATGCCAAACTGTGTTTTTCACAAATTCAACTAGGTTTTACATATCCTTGACAACAAATTGTCTTGGATACGCTCAAACCATATTTTTACTTTTCACACCAAAACTTCATTATATATTTACAAGACCAATATTAAATAAAGTTTAGTTCTTCTAGTTCAAATAGTTGTTTAACTTATTGGGTTATGTGCCCTTATTAGTAAATTTCTATCTCAGCACATATCTTCCATTGTCGACTCACTTGGCCCAAGCTTCAAACGGGAATTTACTGACCACTTCTTCCCATCAATCTTTCCTGAACCACTAAAGCGACTATGAGAGCCATTCCATATGTTCATACATTGTATCATACATACTTGCCATTTTTTGAAATAAATAATATTATCCTTATGTCAGCATCCGATACTGACGATAGTGAAATCCCTCACTCGGACAGAGATTTGACCTTGACTGGGCTCAACTCCGTTACAGTGGGTCTAACTACGATTCTTGGTACAATGAATTGTACAGCACTGCAGTCATTGATCGATTGAATATCTCAGCTGTCCTAGAATACAATCCATCAGATCGCCCGGCTTTTGTCAAAGACACAGCTGCACAGACGCCGATACCGGAGCATGCTAACACATTTACTATTGCTTTCCGCGAAAGAACAAAGAAGAATGACTCCTGCCATCGTGCCCGTGCTATTCTCATTCGATCCTTATCGAAAAATCTTCGGCAGAATCTTACCATAATCAATATCACTGCTGATCCTTGTGATTTGATGTTATTCCTGATGAATAAGTACTCTTTTTATTCGGATCACATCGCTAAGCCTATTGATATTGCCTATTTGGAAAACTTCACGTGCACTGACGAGGAACCGGTTCGATTCTGGGCCGAACGATGCTGTAAATTACAAAGTGATGCAAAAGATCAAGGATTAGTATTCACCGACAAATTTATCACATCAATCTTCATCAGAGATTTGTCACGAACGGACCAGGATCAAGCTCGCCAATACTTGGCCACTCATTGTGGACAAAGTACCCTGGACGGATATTTAGGACCGGACTTGAGGACCGGACCGAGAGCACTATTTGAAGACCGGACCTGAGGACCGGACCGATTAGTGGAATTGAGAATTTAATGAGATATAAGTGATGACTCATACGAAACCATAGAGACGGGTATATTCATATAGCCCGATGGTAGAGAAAGTCTCGTTCCACATAGGATCGTAATTAATAAATATAACAGGCGCGCCATTCTCAATGGCACTTCTGACTGAGTGCACTTATTTCAGACTTAACACTCTTTACTAAGTGTTACTTAGTTTTGACCACATCATGAGTCTACTGCCACATCTCCACTTAAATTATGTGAGCATCTGAATAAATGAAGAAAGTCTGACCCCGAGAGGAAAGTTACAGATACTCCGGTAATAACTTATGTCCGGTTCAGCCAGTACCTCGACCTCATCCTCGTACCCCAACAACCTCACCATGCTTCATCTGTTGGAAAACCACACATTGTACATCGATATGCCCCTTTGCATGCGGAAAATGTGGCACCAAAGTCCGCAAAAATGCATCATGTCCAGAAGTGAAACTCAAATGCAAAATTTGCCACATGGATGGACACAATGAAATCTGCTGTAGCCGTCGCTTTTATAGCAAAAAAAATACAGTCTTCACTAAAGGTATAAATAATACATTTTTATTAATTGGCGGGGTGCCACGGTAGATTTCCTGAACACATCTTCCCGATCACTATTTACTAAATGGAGAGTGGGAAATTTCCCCTACTTCAGGCCGACAACACAAAGGTAGTCATTCACGAACGTGGTATCTTAACTGGACTTGGGATGATATATATTAGCTCTAAATTACAGTAACCCATTGTATCTCCAATATCAGATGAAGACTTGCCACCTTACACGCGGCGAGAATATTCATAAAATCGCTCGACTACACGGAGGCTACCATGCTACTTACAACACGTTATGCACTCTCTCTACATCATCAAGCTCTCAACCCCGGCTCGTCCCCTTCGTACTCAGCCTATTGAAGCTCCAATTCTCTGCCAAACTAGATCATCCTCAAGCGACTTCGGTTTCACAGCAGACACGTTCCACTCTTCAACCGCTTCTACCGACACCTACGTCTCTATTCGTATCCACTCTTCAAGTTGAGTCATCGCCTCCACAATTCGGCTTTTCTCCTAAAACCACGAAATCTTCGGATTTTGAATCTACCACTACGGTCATTGTGCTCTACAACCCGCTCACATCATCTACAACACCGTCTTCCTCTGGACCACTCGTCCAAACGTATGACGAATATCACCGCCGTATTGGTCATTTAAACAAAACCACTACAATTCGCATGGCTGCAAAGGAGGACATCACACTTACATTGTCACAACGGAAGACTGGCAAATATATCCTGTACTTTGGTCTAAAGCTATGGCATACCTTGCGTATCAGCCTACAATCGATTGCTCTGCATCTCCTAAAAATACACATCTTCCGCGATTTGCAGGACCTGAGGGGGGTAAAATACGATGCTCCAAAAAGCTGAACCTACTTAACGAACGCGCGTATGGTAATCCTGGATGGTCCTTAACCCACGAATGGATAAAAATTAATATCCAATGCGGGACAATGATCGCCATTGTCGTCCCATTAAAACCTTGTGCAAAATGGTGGAACCTATTCATTTCACGTATTCAACACCAACCATACATCATACGAAATACAGCCGAACCCTTTCGACAACATGGTGTTAACACAATGTCCAAGCCCTCTTGGATATATACCTTAGTTGCCATACTGGAACCACTCCGTACTGCCGTCGCCCTGGTACACAGTTACAGGCAGCTATTACTTTCTCCAAAGCATATCCTGAATTCGACAAACATTGTAATGTTTGTTTAGAGGCCAAAGTTGATCGCAAGAATATCATATGCCAAACATCAGACAATGTCACAGGCCCAGCCGAACGTTTTTATATCGATATTCAGGGGCCTATGCCCGCTGATCGTCACGGCCACAAATATGCCTTAAATATGGTATGTGATGGTACCAAATATGGACTACATTCAAGCTTCACAGACCTCAATAACATCACCGATCGTGTACTCGAACTCTTGCTCAAGATTCCTGCACAATATAAACCACATACTATCATCGCCGACGGAGCCAGCGTGTTCCAGATCAAGGAGACCACCTCCATGCTTTGATCTCGTCACATCTTCCTAGGTCGCACACCGCCACATTGTCCTAGACGTCAGCACGATACTTTGACCAACATGACTCGCGCACTTCTCAAGGATGCCAACCAGCCCAAATGTTGCTGGGGCTATGCAAAACTCTACGCCGGCGTCATTCGCAACAAGAACCTTTCTAATGGCGATATCGTGTCATCACCAGCCGATAAGTGGTTTCAAACCACAGTTCCACGTTTCCCCGAAGCTCACTATGCGTGCGTCATCATTTGGAAATTAGTAGGAAAGAAGTATACTGATGCCCACAAATATGGAGATCATTTCGGTCGAGGAGTTTTCCTAGGTCGCTGCCCCAGCTCGACACCTGACACTTGGCTCATTCAGAGTTTCAAACCTCAGCGCAAGCTTTTCTCCCGCAATGTAAAATTATTTTTCTACCGAATTCCCTGAATGGTCGGCCGACAGGAAAAGATGCATACCTAGCTCAACACCGTGCTCTTACGTTATTCCTCTCGACCGGGCCAAGGACTTGACCAAGCGTTCTAAGTCCATCCCTTTCATCTCGCCTCATCCTCCAAACGTGGCCACCACTAAGCGTCCCACTCTTCCACCTATCTGCCACAATTTATCATCTCCCCCACACACACCACCGTCAATTGAGCAGGTCTATATCCTTCCCAAAGCTACTCTCCCATCCACTACAATGGTTTCACCGTCCGAGCCACCACTGCCCCTCCCATGTCCACCTATTGACAGTACCACCACCGTTCCTGCAAAATCAATGACGTCCGATCAACCACAACCGTCCTCCTCATCCGAGCCACAACTGCTCTCTCCCCCCACATCACCAATCGTCCACGACGATCCAACCGATGACTACCTTCAACTGGTTTTGCCTGCCATTTCTCACATACCGCCCATGCCTTCGGCCATACCACTAAAACGCCCTCAACCAGTTTATGTCGAACCTAGACATCGTCTTCTACTAACCGATTCCAGTCGTATTCATCAACTTGAACCTCGCAATACCTCCCTCGTCTCTGAACGATCCCAACTCCCTGTACCACCATCATCTACACTTCTGGCTCCTACTCGTACACCATCCTTTATTCATTTTGAAGCAATGCTGCAGGAACCACGTACTTTTTTACCTCCACATAGTACACAACGCCGCATCCGACCTTCACCTCCTAAATGTATCCCACCTGCGCCTACAGCCATACCACTCCCACGTCGTCGTCCACTCGGCTCTCTTGACAATGAAACCTAGATGGTGCCTTCGACAGCCTCCTCCACATCCCAACTTCCCTCCTGAACCTTCGGACACTTCTGAATCGCACATCCGTCACTTGACTCCCTTATATCAGGTACTCGCTACAGGCGACACATTTGGTGATTCCACTACACTGGTTGATCCTAGTCCTTCTACGTTACTTGTTCCTATCTCTCCCAGCGATGATATTCATCCAGCAGTTTGCTCCCTAACACTAGCAACTGACTCCACACTGTCCCTTCTCGGCCGTCGATCTTTTTTACTCTAAAATTCCCAAGAGTGTGCGTCAGACCCGTTCACAAGCGGAATGGCCCAACTGTGAAGCTGCAATCCGAAAAGAACATGATACACACGCTCGCAATCAGTTGGTTAACCTAGTCCCTAAAACCGTTGCCCACCTAAACACTCGTGTTATCCATTCTAAATATGTTTTTATCAAAAAATATGACGAAAACGGCACACCGACTCTCTTCAAGGCTCGTCTTGTCGCACGAGGCGACCATCAACAACAAGGCGACTCGTTTTGGGATACGTATGCCCTCGCCGCTACGTCGTGTACCCTCCGCCTCTTGTTGACCTATGCAGCTTTTAATAGTCTTGACGTCTTTCATATAGATATCGGTACTGTGTAATAGCCGGGCCTCCACATTAGACTCTATGTTATAAACGTACTCTTAAGCAGTACGTAAACTATAAACGTACTCTCAATAGTATGAGGAACTTTAGTTTCCTAAATGGGTTTTAACGGTTTATTGATTAATACCTTTTTCCATTTTACATATCAGATATTTGGACAAGGCCATTAAAAGGCCCCAGTAAAATACCAAACATGATATTTGGTCTAGTTCTATTAATAGAACTATATTTACATT